CGGGGAGATGTGACGTCATGATTTAGGTGTCCAATCTCTGAACAAGTGACCAATCAGTTGGCCCAGTTTTAAACTGCAGTCCACTTGCGCTAATCTTCAGTCTGCCTCATCAAGAAGTTAGCAAATGAGCTTAGTAAATACAAGTGCCGTCAAACTGATTATCACTTAGCAGTAGAGCACCAACTTTGAGCAGAGATCTCAGCTCTAGGCCTGAATAGCCAGATAACGGAATGAAATGTAATTTGTGTAGGTCACCATTTGCAGTGCAAATCTCGGTCATATTACGGCTGTATTTTTAGACATTCAAAGGACTGGTGATAAGCAAAAAGCAAAGTAACAAAAAACAGCACTTGGGTATAGCTTCATGACAATCAAATGATCATAAAGACACCTTTCTTTGCAAAATAAGTGTTTTGTAACAACTTTCAAATCCAAGCAAAAGTTGTTAATGAGTTAATTCGTCTTCGCATACAATGTATTTGTTACTCGCCATGGAGGCGTACGCTTGGGACATGCACACATCATTCACGTTTCTCACAAGGTAGTGCTTTGCAAGTGCAACATACAACAACGTGGTTAGTGATCAGTGGAATGTTCACTTTATGGCCGGATGTGGCGAGCTGGAATGTTTGTTCTCTGATTTAGGGCTATGGCATGTTTGTAGGCACATATCAGTGAGATCAAGTCGAGCTAAAACAAATCGTTAGCTGAAATAGAGCTTTTATTGGAAGCGAAATTGACTTAGATATTGATAACGTTTGCCTGCACGAAGGCTGCCAAAACAAATATGACATTACGATCCAGGCAACTAGAGATCAAATACCAAGTTATTGACGATTGATGTAAAATATTTGTTAATTTTGTTATAATTATAATGCAAAATTTAACAACCATACGGCGTGCTTTAGTGAATTCTTTCCGCAAATCTAAATACCTGTCAACAAGTATTACAGCCACATTTATTTTAACCATAGTCCAGCAATCACTGATCACCCGACACCACACGACACATACTCGTATCAACCCTCACCGTTCATATTCGGCTTACCTTGCGCTGTCGTATTGTGTCGACTTCTTCAGCAGTTTCTGCTTCTTTCTCTACCGACGACTTCCAACCCAAGTCCTTGTCTCAAGCGTTTCCTCAACACCGCCACCCTATCCAACGTCCTATCTCGAGCAGCCTGCAGATACAGTGGAGCCCGTGGCGGCCACCCGCTGGTACAGTCACACCCGCCTGGCACCAACGACGCCAGCCGAATGCCCGGTCAGCCGCGCCGAGCGCCTGAGGGCATGTTTGGCAGCTCAGCGCGCGCATCTAGCCCCGGCAGCGAAACCACAGGCATCTTTAGATAAAAGTGTGGAACTTTTCATGGAAAGGAACTACACTGCATGCGTGGAAACTAGACTTATGCTAGGTCACAGGTCAAAGGTCATTTGATCAGGGTCAAACAATTTTCAGAATTGATGAACAATTGATCAACTCGAGGGCACTGCAAGTTTCGTTGCGATTGGCGGCCTTTTACGCTGGTTACTCGCGAAAAATCGAGGGGGTCTGTTCACCCTCCAGCAAGCGCTAGGGTTAGAACATGCATTAACTGCCTCTCGTGGGGACCATTTTTTGTCATTCTTAATTTATCACCCTGTAACTGTAGACTCGAGCCGCTGGATCATAGTGGGTTTGTCACTACATTATGCATGCCTGTGTGAAAATTGTGGTTGACAACCAGCACAGATTTTGAAGGAAAAAATAGAAAGCGTGAGAAAAAAATTACATTCGACCATGCTCGCAATTCTGCGGAATATTACATGACAAAATACGTAATGGAGGATATCATCATAGGCGTCTTTATGAAAGTTTAAACTTTGTTTTCAATTTTTACAAGCCTGCTTGTAGAAAACATTTGAAATTAACGCATATACCTAGTTACTATTCGACATATTGACATATTGTTATTTTAGGTGCAAAATACAGGCACATTTATTCAACATCCGGTGTCAAACATAACGTTCTGGGTATTTCATTTTTTGTTACCTATTTCTTTCAATAATTATTAAATGCTTCTACGTTCTTCTCGCCGAGCATATCCGCGTTCCCAGCCTTGCAGCGCTGGGTGTGTCCAACATCACTAGCGAAAATCAACAGATGTTTTCACATCCGCGTGTGCTATCAGCCGTTGCAGAATTGCTTAACCCTTGCCCGCACATGCCATTTTCCCATCCTAGAACGCACATGGGGGGGGGGGTTGCCACCCCCCGCGCCATTTCGTTCCTGTTGGAGATATAGCTTAGCGGTAAGACCAAAAAGATTCTTTGGGAAGAGGCGAATCCAATGATACCCAGTTTTACCTTCTCAGGTCAGTCGTTGACCTTCCAGGTCAGGTCAAGCTAAAAAATGTTGCTGTTTTGTGTCACCGTTGGATATCAGGTGCGCTGCTTATCATATAGGTACCGATGACGATGCCGTTTTCTGGTTCCAAGCCAGCTAGAACCTCTTTGTCACACTACCCGACCCGTTTTTTTTGCTGCTGAGGTCATTTCAGGTCAAGTTAGGTCAAGGTCAATTATATGTGTTTGTATGTTTGTGTGTGTCTGTGTGTATACTGATAAGTGCACCGATTGTTTTTGTGTCCATATTACATGAAATCATGATCTGAAAAGCTTTTACCAAAAATGCAGTCAAAAAACTTCACAAAAAGTAAATTTAGCTTGCCTAAAACGCAATTATCTTAGATGACCTAGGTTCACCTTGACCCTGACCTTGACACCTGTACATCGTCGAACAACATGTTCCATGATAGGTGGGAGGTAAGACTGGCAAAAAAGGCCGAAACAAAGGTGTCAAAAGCTCACAAGGCCCATGGCAAACGCAAGATGTTGAGAATTGGCCATTTGGGTCATGACATGACCTGAAAAACAAGGTCATATCTCCGAAATCAAACATCTCAGAAACTAGAAATTTTCAGTGGACTTCAAAAAAGGACAGAGGAGCAGCTATACGAAAAATCAGCCTTCTAGCTTTAAAAATGTTGAGTGCAGAGCAGAAAGACTACCTGGGGGGGGGGGGCAACCAGAACCATCCCCCCCCATGTGCGGGCGAGGGTTAAAAGCGGCTGTCCCAAACGCTGGCCACCTCAACAGGGCACAGCGCACCTCCAGTGCACTTGCTCACTTATCCAACGCCGTGAGTATGAACAAAAGTAGTGCATTACCCAGGTCAAAATTGTTGGAAAAAGCGGAAAAGTATAGCCGACTGATATTGATAGAGCTTGATACAAGGAACGTTTTGAGGCTGAAGGTGGCGGTACACATTGCGCCAGTTTTATCTGGGTTCAGGTAAACATCAATTTTGTGTTTTTTTTTCAATGAAAAAAAGGGTAACGCCAGAACATACCAAAAAGGTCCGTGGCCACGCTGACAACGCTACGTACTAGTTTTTGGCATACGATCATTCTTACTGACGATCCTTAGGGAATACGATCTTTTGTCCATACGAGCATTATATCGTAAGATCGTTATCCATTAAGATGTTTTTGCATTCGATGAACTTCCTATGATCTTCTGCCTTACAATCTTCTGCTTTACGATCTTTTCCCGGTTACCTGTTCTCTGCAACGTATTGATACTGGTGCTGCCACCTACATGCGTTTTAATTGAAGTAATGCTACACAGTGCTGCATCCGGTAACCGGACAAAATGTCGTAAAGCATAAGATCGTAGGGCAGAAGATCATCATCGTAGAAAGCTGATCGTATGCAAAAGATCGTAATCATAATAGGTAAATATAGTGCGATATGATGCTCGTATGGACAAGAGATCGTATGCACAAAATATGGTCAGTGGAAATGATCGTAGGTATGCCAAAATATCGTATGGGATAAAGAGCGTACAGTTAATCGTTCGTATTAACGAAAGATCGTATTCGCAAAAGGCTCGTCCTCTGTGACCTGATGCTCCACGTCCTCCCTGACCTGACGCCGCCACTGCACCCCCATCCTCTGTGACCTGATGCCGCCCCTGCTCCACGTCCTCCCTGACCTCAAGTCACCCCTGCTCCCCCTTCCTTTGGGACCTGACGCCGCCCCTGCTCCCCCGTCCTCTGTGACCTGACGCCGCCCCTGCTGCGCTCCGAGCCGTGCCCTGAGGCTGTGTCGGGTCGGATCGGCCGGCAGTGGCCGCTGGAGAGGCGAGGGGAGCGAGTGTCTGGTGGCCGGGCCGGCGGTGGGTGTCTACTGGCTGGGACACTGGAGTCGGAGCGTGTGCTGGTCGATGACGCTGGTGGATAACGGGAGACGGTGAGGGACGCTGGTGTTTAACGGGAGACGGTGAGGGACGCTGGTGGATAATGGGAGACGGTGAGGGACGCTGGTGGATAACAGGAGACGGTGAGGGACGCTGGTAGATAACGGGAGACGGTGAGGGACGCTGGTGGATAACGGGAGACGGTGAGGGACGCTGGTGGATAACGGGAGACTGTGAGGGACGCTGGTGTATAACGGGAGACGATGAGGGACGCTGGTGTATAACGGGAGACGGTGAGGGACGCTGGTGGATAACGGGAGACGGTGAGGGGGGGGGGCTGTACTGTACACAGCTGTTGCCGCCTTTTCTCTTCGCTTATATGTAAAGGGTAGCCAACGAGAGTGTTTAAATCCACCTGTTTAATTAGTAGTCAAGTAAATATTAACTTTCAAAGCTCGTGAACATTGATTGTTACAAATCCATTATCAGCAAGGCAGCTGTTTTCAAGGCTTGCCACCGCTGTGATAATTTTGCGTTTGTCCCCAACGCCCTCCTCACCGCCCCCCCCCCCCGCACACACACACAACACAGAATAGCTGTTACAAATTGACCAGGCTGACTTTGGTCCGTCTGTGTTATGTCCAGCTACTGATAGCGTTACCTCTTCTCTCTTCAGGATGACTCGACGACATGCTTCGATCGCCATCGGTGGTGGACGAGGGACGCCATCGGGTGGTGGACGAGGGACGCCATCGGTGATGGACGAGGGACGCCATCGGTGGTGGACGAGGGACGCCATCGGTGGTGGACCGCCATCGTCACCGCCGTCCTGACTGTACCAGAACAACAGCGGCGGACCGAGACAGCAGAGCGGCACCGGGCGGCCACTTCGGAACGGGGCGGGGAGAGAGTGAGAAGGGGGGGGGGGCTAGTTAGACATACCTAGTAAGACTGTTTGACTGTATCGAACGTGATAAATGTGGCTTTTACTCAAAGCAAAAAGAATGTAAAAAAAAAACTTTTTGGAAACCCTATGATTTTTTCGCTTTCCGTTAGAACTTAACTGTCATCAAAAGGTTAATTATTATTCATACTTGCGACAATCATATACACTTCGTATATTTCATTCGTACCTAGTATAAACCATACATTATAATGTACCTACGTAATGATGAGAAGAAGTTTCACGCTCTCTCTCCCTCTTTCTCTCGCACTCCCTCTCTCTCCCTCTCTCTCCCTACCTCTCCCTCTCGCTCTCTCTCCCTCTCTCCCTCTCTCCCTCCCTCTCCCTCCCTCTCCCTCCCTCCCTCTCTATCTCTCTCCATCTCTCTCTCTCTCTCTCTCTCTCTTTCTCTCTTTCTCTCTCTCTCTCTCTCTTTCTCTCTCTCTCTCTCTATCTATCTTTATCTATCTATCTTTATCTTTATCTATCTTCTATCTATCTTATCTTACTATCTTTCCTCCCCTCTCTCCCTCCCTCCCTCTCACCTCTCTTGACTGCCTCTTCTCTCCTCCAGCAGTATTCGTGTGGTTCAACTTCAGACTATGTGGACGACCGTCCTCCGTCCGCCCGGTCCCAGTACTGATGGCCTTCGGACTACAGGACTACCAGCCCTCGGACTACAGGACTACCGTCCCTCGGACTACAGGACTACCGGCCCTCGGACTACAGGACTACACCGGCCCTCGGACTACAGGATTACCGGTCCTCGGACTACAGCACCATCAGTGTTACGGTGGCTACCACGAAAATGGGAAATCAACGATCTCCTTGGAACACAAGGCAAGTCTGTGTTTTCAAATAAACTTATAATTTTGACCAGAACGGACGCACGTTATTGAAGTGGTATCAGTGTTAACTATAAAAAAACGAGTTTATTAAATTTTAATGCCCTGCTAAATCCCTTATGCTGTAAGTTTTAGCCATATGCGAATCCAACAAGGTTTATGACTATTTTCTTAATTTGACGTGGTATGTGTGACCCGTCTATTTGGCGTGATATTTGTGGCCGTCGATATTAAAGTAGTATGTGTGACAGTCTATTTGACAAATTATTTGTGAGCATCTATTGTCGTAGAATGTGTAAAGTGTGACTGTCTATTGGTCATGAAATGTGTGCAGCTCTGCAGAATGACTGTCTATTTGTCGTGGATTGTGTGCAGTGTGATAGTCTATTTGTCGTGCTATACGTGCCCGTCTATTTGTCGTGCTATACGTGCCCGTCTATTTGTCGTGCTATACGTGCCCGTCTATTTGTCGTGCTATACGTGCCCGTCTATTTGTCGTGCTATACGTGCCCGTCTATTTTTCACGATATACGTGCCCGTCTATTTGTCGTGGTATACGTGCCCGTCTATTTGCCGTGCTATACGTGCCCGTCTATTTGCCGTGCTATGTGTGACCGACTAGGCACTAGCTGCCTTGGTGTATATGACATTACGCGTTCATCTACTAACATCTATAGTCTATACCTACGGTCTTTTTTGTGTTTAAGCTCCCGCTGTCCAGACCGATATTTCCCCCCAAATTCCAGATATCATGGTCCATTCAGCACTGAGATAGTCCCGCTAGACCATAAGGGCTTATGTAACAGAACAAAAAGTCAGCGAGCAGAGTAGATTAGCTTTTCTGTAACTTACAGCTGAACTTTTGGTATAAGTAGTTGTATATTAGACGTTCTTGTTTACTGTAGCCGTCTAAAGCACTTCTGGTTGTGATGTTTCAAATCTGATAGAAAATCACTTTCAAATCTGATGAGAAAAACCATGCTGAAAACGGCTGCTCCCTCTGTTTGCCCACAGGCGGAGGTGGCGCGCCTTCTGGTCCAGTCCGGCGCGCGGATCGACCCACTGAACAAGGCGGAACGCTCGCCACTGCAGGTGGCGCCACCGGGGCTGGCGAGCGACCTCCAGCAGCTGGCGCCGCCCTCAGTCGTGTTCGCCGCTGGCACAGATGGCAGCACCGTCGACTTATCCCCGGGTTCAGTGCATCTCGAGCCGCTGAGCCGCCGCCTATTTCATCCCATCAACATAGTTCGTACTTCGCAGTGACCTCTGTGAAACTCTCCGTTGGTATAGGTGGCACCACCGTCGACTGGATGTTGAAATGTTGAAAGTGTCGTCTATTGTATGCTGGAGTGAGCGTCTTTAGTTACCGTCCGCCGTTCATCGACTTGATTCGTTTGGTCGGATGGTGCACTGTCGCTGCCAGGTGTGGGCACCGCATGGCTGCCGCCTTTTCACTGTCATCACCGTGTCGTTATCCGCGCGAACGTTGAGAGCTTCACGTTGATGTGATGCACGTCGTTGTTCGTTGTTTGGCATTCGACCATTGGTAGTCACGAAATAGAGTGAGGGTCTTTGTGACTCGAGCCGTGTACCCCTGATGTTTCCCTGTATGCATGCCACCGATCAATGTTTGGCGCCGAAGAACTGTGATAGAAGAATGAATGTCGTGAAGTAAGCCCTGTTATAGGATTGATTTGATGTGCAGGTGCTCAGCTACTTAGCCCTGCCCTTGGACCTGCCAGCTGGCAATTTGTACGTGGATTGTCGAGTGTTGTGGCAAATAAAATGCTGAAAACCATGGGATGTGTGGTCTGATGTGGTTGGAACACAGTGCGAACGGAGACAGGGGCAAAACGTCTGATGGCGTCACAAGAATAGATCTGGAGTGGCTAAAACACGAGTGTCTAGGACCGCAAAACGGAGAAAAAATGAGGGCGATGGAAGCTAATGCACTAAGGCTTCAGTATGTTTCAGCCGCAATAAGGCTGTCTACAACGTCAGGATCGAACCGGGGCGGTCGGTAAGGCTTTCGCCGTAAAAGAAAGTGGGCGGAGCCTAAACGGCCGCAAAACTGAGATCTGGATAAGGCACTTTCGGGTGCCCCAAAGGGTTTGCCCTGTTGGCCGAGTGGTTAGCGTGACGTCAGCATGCATTTTAGACTTTCGAAGGTTTCGGGTTCGAGACCCGGAATCGCTCCTGATTACGGTAAATTTTTCCGTCCTAAACGGGCCTCGAACCCAAAACCTTCGAAAGTGTAAAATGCATGCTGACGTCACGCTATCCACTCGGCCATCAGGGTAAACCCGTTGGGGCACCTGGAAGCGCATTATGCCGATCTCAGATTGGGGCCGTTTAGGCCCCGCCCACTCCTCTCTGTCGTCAGCCCAGCCCGTGTGACGTCACATCCACTACTGCCGTCGACTGTTTGGCTCGGTACGCGGGTCTCTCAGTCTCCCGAACCGTCTGACCATCGCTGAGAGGAGTTCCCACGCGACTTCCAGGACGTAAACACTCGAAAACACGTCGCTCTAGTCGCTCTTTGGATTGTATTGCAACATCTACAAATAAAAACATACAATAAGGAAAAGTGTTTTTCAGGGAAAGCCGGCGCCACGCAGCGGGGACGGATGGGGGGGGGGGGGCGTTTGGTGTGCCACGGGCCGGGTCCGATTGATGAGTGCTGCCCCGCCGGGTGACGGACGGGGCGGCGCCGGCGGCAGTCGGCCCCTGGCAGCTAGACTGGCCCGACGAGCCGATTGACCCCGGCGACGACCTCTGATGGCCGCGGGCGGTGACAGCCGCCAATCTGGGCCGCCTGGAAGTGAATGGAGACCGGTAAGGGGTGGGCACGCAGGGGGGAGGGAGAGGGAGGGAGGGAGGGTGCCACGGACTGACAAAATAACGACAGCGGAGGGGCTGGGGGAGGGGCTGTGATGCTGTACAGGGGACGGAGCGTGCCTGGCGCAAGAGGAGCCTCGAGAGAAGTGGAGATGCGGCATTACGAACACGGGCATGGAATGTTGCACGTGTTTGCAAGCATGATGCAATACAAACTCAGCGTTCCTTCCCATTGGCTTTTGCACTCATCATTCAGCTTTGTCGCTGTTGCACTCGCTACCCCAATAATATCTACCATAATCGACTGTTACCAACTAACATTTCCAAACTATCAGCTCATTACCATGCATCATGACCGGACTCTGGAATGTCAACAATAATGCGCAACTAATCAATCCTGATACACACTGACAAACTGTTGTATAATGTCAACGCACCCGCTACTGCCGCCACTGCTCACTGTTCACAGTCACTGTTCACCGTTACCGCTCTCACAGCCACAAACATTCAACTTCGCACGATTATCTTATCTCGTATATTGTCTGATTTTGCTTGGAAACTCTTCATTAGGTGCGAATCACCCGGTGCGATCAGCTGACAAGATAGGCAGAGACACCCAGCGGCGGTATTCAGAACCTCAAGTTAATGCAAGTAGCGCCACCTATGCACTGAACGGCCGAGCCCGATTTCCACTAGCTGCACATAACACAGGCATCAAGCCATAGGGAGATCTTGTCGCTAGATGTCACTAGTGGTATATAGCGCCGGCTGTGGTATATGTTATGGGCAGCTAGTGGAAATCGGGGTCGGCCGTTCGGAGCATAGGTGGCGCTGCTTGCATGAACTTGAGGTTCTGAATGCCGCCGATAGGTGTCTGCCTACCTAATCAGCTGATCGTTACCGGGTGATTTGCAGACAGTGAAGCGTTCCAAAGTAATATCAGACAATAGGTGTGCAAGATAATGTTATATATAAGGGTTTAACTGTTTCATTTGAATGCATGTTTGTGGCTGTGATAGCGGTAACGGTGACAGAGACTGTGAACAGTTAACAGTGCGGCAGTGGCAGATGCGTTGACATTTTACAGTGGTATGTATTGATTGTTGCGCATCATTGTTGACATTGCATTGTCGTCATCATTCATGGCAATGAGCTGATACCTGATAGTTTCGAAATGTAACCTGTCAGCATTGAATGAGGGTAGGTAGTTTATTTGAGTAGCGAGTGCAGCAGTGACAGAGCCGAGTGACTATTGCAAAAGTAAGAGTGAGGGAGAGCTGCTTTTTATTGAATGGTGTTTGCAAACACGTGCAACATTTCATGCGTGTGATCATAATGCCGCCTCTCCACTTCCCTCGAGGCAACTCTTGCGCCAGGCACGCTCCGTCCCCTGTACAGCATCACTGCCCCTCCCCCAGCCCCTCTGCTGTTGTTATTTCGTCAGTCCGTGGCACCCTCCCTCCCTCCCTCTCCCTCCCCCCTGCGTGCCCACCCCTTACCGATCTCCACTCACTTCCAGGTGGCCCAGATTGGCGGCTGTCACCGCCCGCGGCCATCAGAGGTCGTCGCCGGGTTCAATCGGCTCGTCGGGCCGGTCTAGCTGCCAGGGGCCGACTGCCGCCGGCGCCGACCCGTCCGTCACCCGGCGAGGCAGCACTCATTAATCGAAGCCAGCCCGAGGCACACCAAACGCCCCCCCCCCCCTCTTCCGTTACGTGGCTAACCAACTTTCCCCTGAAACCAAACACATTCGCTCATTGTATGTTTTTATTTGTAGATGTCGCAATACAATCCAAAGTGCGACTCGAACGTCGTGTTTGTGAGTGGTTACGTCCTGAAAGTCGCGTGGGAACTCCTCTCAGCGATGGTCGGACGGTTCGGGAGACCGCGAGACCCGCGTACGCCGTACAGAGCCAAACAGTCGACGGCAGCAGTGGACGTGACGTCACACGGGCTGGGCTGACGAAAGAGAGGAGTGGGCGGGGCCTAAACGGCCCCAATCTGAGATCGGCATAATGCGCTTCCAGGTGCCCCAACGGGTTTACCCTGATGGCCGAGTGGATAGCGTGACGTCATAATGCATTTTACACTTTCGAAGGTTTTGGGTTCGAGGCCCGTTTAGGACGGAAAATTTACCGTAATCAGGGGCGATTCCGGGTCTCGAACCCGAAACCTCCGAAAGTCTAAAATGCATGCTGACGTCACGCTAACCACTCGGCCACCAGGGCAAACCCGTTGGGGCACCTGCAAGTTCCTTATCCAGATCTCAGTTTAGGGGCCAATTAGGCTCCGCCCACTTCCTTTTACGGCGAATGCCTTACCGACCGCCCCGGTTCGATCGCGACATTTGGGACAGCCTTATTGGCGCCAAAATATACTGAAGCCTTAGTGCATTAGCTTCCATCGCCCTTCCTCGCCCCTTTTTTTCTCGTTTTGCGGGTCTAGATACTCGTGTTTTAGCCACTCCATACCTATTCTTGTGACGCCATCAGACGTTTTTCCTCTTTATCCGTCCGCACTGTGTTCTAACCACATCAGATCACACATCCCATGGTTTTCAGCAATTTATTTGCCATAACACTCGACAATCTACGCACCAATTGCCAGCAGGCAGGTCCAAGGGCAGGGCTGAGTAGCTGAACACCCGCACATCAAATCAATCCTAAAACAGGCTTTCTTCACGACATTCATTCTTCTATGCCTTACATTGATCGGTGGCATGCATACACGGGAAACATCAGGAGCACAGGGGTCTGAGTCACAAAGAACCTGACTATTTCGTGACGATCAATGATCGAATGCCAAACAACGAACAACGACGTGCATCACATCAACATGAAGCTCTCAACGTTCGCGCGGATAACGACACGGTGATGACAGTGAAAAGGCGGCAGCCATGCGGTGCCCACACGTGGCAGCGACAGTGTACCATCCGACCAAACGCCCTAAATGTTTAGATTAGCGGCGGGCGGTGACTAAATACGCTCACTCCAGCATACAATAGACGACACTTTCAACATAATTTCAACAACAGTCGGCGAGGTATGGCTATACAGTCAACGCACGTGTCGCACATACAAAATGCAGCCAACACATGCACCGGTTGGGACAACCGGCCTTGCAATGGGCAGACGTGTCAACGATCTCGGGACGCGAGTACTTCGATACGGGAGAGTTTCCGCCACGACAGGGTGTGTGAGCGGGCATAATAACATAACACTATAAGCCCTTATAGCAGATAGACACCACCCACTAGGCGAGCTGAGGCCTCAGATTCAGAGAACGCGGCAGGTCAACACGAGTCACGCAGGCATCGGCACCCAGTCGACGGTGGTGCCATCTATACCAAGGGAGAGATGCACAGAGGGCACTGCGAAGTACGAACTATGTTGATGGGATGAAAAAGGCGGCGGCTCAGCGGCGAGATGCACTGAACCCGGACATAAGTCGACGGTGCTGCCATCTGTGCCCGCGGTGAGCTCCACCGAGGGCGGCGCCAGCTGCTGGAGGTCGCTCGCCAGCCTCGGTGGCGCCATCTGTAGCGGCGGGCGCTCCGCCTCGTTCTGTGGGTCGCTCCGCGCTCTGGACTGGACCAGAGGGCGCGCCATCTCCGCCTGTGGGTAAACAGAGGGAGCGGGGTCGTCAGCCAATGGGTACTCATATTAGAGGCATATTTGAGAGTTTTGTGCAGGCATTGGCACGTAGGTCAGACTTGATCGCATACAAATTGGACATTGGCTATTTCAAAGAGCACCATTATGACGCACAGAAATATAATTTAGACAGACAAATAGACAGTTACACATACCGCGTTTAACCCTTCTCCTCCACGCCGCAACCCCCCTCCGGGCTGGACAGGCAACTTTATCTCATGCGGGCTGCTCCCTTGGAGCGGCACCGCTGCTCCTGAGGGAGCGCACCCCGTAGCCGGGTGCAGTGAGTGCCTTGGGGCTGGGTGGCCTGTCCTCTGGACGGGCTCAGCCCCGGCGACTCACTAGGGTGCCTGCCCAGACCAATGTCTCCCCCTAATTCCTATCATCCTTCCGGCTCTGCAATGATCTTGTCGACCGAAAGGGCCTAACCCAACAAAACAAAACAAACAAACCGCGTTAAACAGACGGCAATATACACCACGTCACATCAGGGGACACACATACCACGTTTTTTCAAACCCCACATTCTATCTTATAAATTTCCGGGAAGCACGAAAGATTCCTTTCAAATGTGTCAAATCATCCGATCCTTATTGAATAATGGTGTTCGTAGGCTTCTTTTGGCATTGCCTGATCTGCCAAGACAGATAAACTTGAGGGAAAAACGAGTTACTGTGCCCTTTTTGAAAGCTTCTATCCAACTCCCTTGAATTATCGAGAGAACAGATGTGGGGTTTGTACAAAAAAAAAAATGCAACGATATGTACTGCAACAAATATACATATGGTCACAGGTGCAACGACAAAGAGACGGTCACACATACAGCGACATATAGACAGTCACACATACCACATTAAATGAGCCGTTACATATTTACCACGATAAATAGACGGTTGCGTATAAGAAGTCAACTGGATGATCATATTTACCGCGTAAAATAAATGAAAACACATATGCCACTTGGAAGAGAGGGTCACAAATACCATGTCAAATGGACAGTAACATACAAAGAAAATAGACGGTTACACGTTTCTGAAAAATAGCCGATCACATATAGCGCGTAAAACAAAACGTTACACTAACCACGTCAAATAGACGGTACCATATAACTATCACGTCAAATAAACGGTTATAAATACCACAACAAATAGACTGCCACTCGTTCCATGACAAAACGACGGTCATATATACCACGACAAAAATCGATCATTTATGCCACGTGAAATAGACAGTCACAGTCATACACTGTGACAAATAGACGGCCACATATAAGACGTTCAATAGACGGTCACATATATCCCGACAAATAGACGGTCACACCACACATATGCCAAGACAAATAGGCGGTCACACGTAAATTACCACAAATAGACGTTGGCAAATGGCATATACCACGTTAAAAACATAGTCATATTTACCTTAACCACGTAAAAACAAGAGCCACATATACCACGTAAAAAACACGGTCGAATACCACGACAAACACACAGGCTTACATGCCATAGAAAATAATTAGATGGTCACATATCGACGTTTAATTGTTCACTTTACCGTTACAATCACCAAAACACATATACCTCTCATACCGCCCCGTTCCGAAGTGGCCGCCCGGTGCCGCTCTGCTGTCTCGGTCCGCCGCTGTTGTTCTGGTACAGTTAGGACGGCGGTGACGATGGCGGTCCACCACCGATGGCGTCCCTCGTCCACCACCGATGGCGTCCCTCGTCCACCACCGATGGCGTCCCTCGTCCATCACCGATGGCGTCCCTCGTCCACCACCGATGGCGTCCCTCGTCCACCGCCGATGGCGTCCCTCGTCCATCACCGATGGCGTCCCTCGTCCACCACCGATGGCGATCGAAGCATGTCGTCGAGTCATCCTGAAGAGAGAAGAGGTAACGCCATCAGTAGCTGTACATAACACAGACGGACCAAAGTCAGCCTGGTCAATTTGTAACAGCTATCCTGTTGTGTGTGTGTGTAGGGGGGGGGGAGGATGGGCGTTGAGGACAAACGCAAAATTATCACAGCGGTGGCGAAGCCTTCAAAACAGCTGCTTTGCTGATAATGGATTTGTAACAATCAATGTTCACGAGCTTTGAAAGTTAAACATTACTTGACTACTAATTGAACAGGTTGATTTAAACACTCTCATTGGCTACCCTTTACATATAAGCGAAGAGAAAAGGCGGCAACAGCTGTGTACAGTACAGCCCCCCTCACCGTCTCCCGTTATCCACAAGCGTCCCTCACCGTCTCCAGTTATCCACCAGCGTCCCTCACCGTCTCCCGTTATCCACCAGCGTCCCACACCGTCTCCAGTTATCCACCAGCGTCCCTCACCGTCTCCCGTTATCCACCAGTGTCCCTCACCGTCTCCCGTTATCCACCAGCGTCACCGACCAGCACACGCTCCGACTCCACTGTCCCAGCCACCCACCACCCGGCCCGGCCACCAGACACCCGCTCCCCTCGCCTCTCCAGCGGCCACTGCCGGCCGGTCCGACCAACACAGCCTCAGGGCACGGCTCGGAGCGCAGCAGGGGCGGCGTCAGGTCACAGAGGACGGGGGAGCAGGGGCGGCGTCAGGTCCCAAAGGAAGGGGGAGCAGGGGCGACTTGAGGTCAGGGAGGACGTGGAGCAGGGGCGGCATCAGGTCACAGAGGATGGGGGTGCAGTGGCGGCGTCAGGTCAGGGAGGATGGGGGAGCAGGGGCGGCGTAAGATACTGGTGGACGGGAGATAACAAGTGACAATTTCCACGGCCTGAAGAAGATATCACGGGAATTATACATACAGCAGCAAATGAAAATGAAATGTAGCGGACAACAAAATTATCTAGTGGTCACAGCCTCCGATGTCACAGAGCAGTGGACAGTGGACACAGTTCGCGCAGACGCCAAAATGCTTAGAAATTTACCTTTCGGGATGGTTCTTAGCTGATTATCAGCTAGTTAAGCTGGTTCTACGCCGATTCGTAAGCTTATTTCATTATATAAAAAAAAACAATTTGCACATTTGTAGCAATAACAGATAACTTAAAATACATACACGCTTTAATCCGTAAATATAGTAAATATATCATATAGAACAATGAGCTAAGCGTCTACTAAAAGGGGATGCAATAAAGCAATCGTAAAAAAACACTGAAAAAGTATTAGTACGTACAACCTCGAGCGTCGATCAGACCATCAATTTCATGGCCAGCAGGTTCTGGCACTCGTCCTTCCTTCAGCTCCTGGGTCGTCGACAGCGACGCCGGCGTCAGACCGACATCCTCCCCGTTCCCGGAGGGAGACGGAGTCCTCCAGCGTCTCCAGCTCCGGCCGGTGTTCGCAGCTCTGCGAGACGAGCGTCAGGCCCGCCGGGCGGGGTCACAAAGGTCCATCAGCATACACGGGCGGGCCAGAAGCTATCGAACGCCGTTTGATTTTGAAAATCGGTCGGTAACTTTCCGAGATCTTAGGATGGTGTGGGATGGGAAGGGGAGGGGGACGAAACGACCCGCACCCTACGGATGCAGGATCCTTCGATGGCCCTACGATGCGCGGGTTAAGAAATGCCATTCAGGCCAGGGTCATGAAATTTACAGGGTGGGTGTTAACTCAATCAAGACGGGAGTAGATACCGATAGCTTCGTTGCGATCGGGCCGCTCTTTACGCGAGTCATTTGTGAAAAACCGCGAGGGTCCGTTCCACTCGCCCCCTATAAATGCGAGGGTTAGGAAATCGGACTATTCAATCCGTTTGCCTCTCTCTTTCTCTCTCTCTCTCTCTCTCTCTCTCTCTCTCTCTCTCTCTCTCTCTCTCTCTCTCTCTCTCTCTCTCTCTCTCTCTCTCTCTCTCTCTCTCTCTCTCTCTCTCTCTCTCTCTCTCTCTCTCTCTCTCTCTCTCTCTCTCTCCCTCTCTCTCTCTCTCTCTCTCTCTCTCTCTCTCTCTCTCTCTCCCTCTCTCTTCTACTTCAAAAGACGTCTTATATGGTGAAAAACATGAGACGTCGACAGGATACCCGCCGGGCTCCACTGATAGCGCTGGTCTGTACCACCACGTCAACCACAGGAAGGCACTGGCGGTCCCAGGGGGGGGGGCACGGGGGCCATGGCCCCCCCCTTTGGTGCTGAAAGGTGGGGCCATACTATCTTTTGGCCCCACCTTTCAGATCGAACAAAAGTCCTAGAAAAGCTTTTCGTATGTTTCATTTTCTTTCTTGCGCCATCAAAGGACGTAAATTTCACTCATGAGGGCTCAGTTTCGCATTCTGTCAATTTGGTGGTCAGCGTCGCTGGCACCGGTTCACGAGTATGGCCGGATCTTATATGGAATATCAGCGTGGGTTTACTTGAGGCTCTCGTAGGCCCAGCAATGGCTGGCATGAGACCCTCTTCGGCAGTGGTGGGTGGGCCCTGCTAAAGGAGATTGGCTCTAAGACACTAAAGTAAGACCTCATGGGTTGGTGCTGTGCACCTCAGAAGCCCGGTGGTGACGCCGTATGCCGGCTTGGTTTCTTAAGGATTAGCGTGGGAACTCCGGGGCCTGCATAGAGTTTGCATGAGCTAGTATGTAATCTCAGAGGCATGTGTGTAATGTGTACACAGTGGCGGTCGCGGGGGGGGGGGGGGCATCAGGGCCATGCCCCCCCAAGGTCAATAAAGGGGGCCATCATATCATTTGCCCCCCCCCCCCTCAAACAACCAATGGGCCCCCATATAGGTGTATGGGGCCCTGGCAATTATTCGATCGTCACGAAGCTCAAAAAAACCCACGCCCAGCTATTAATATAGCTCCCACACCGGTCTTTGAGCGTCCTACACTGACCTCTGAGGGAACTTCAGTGGCGGTCAAGTGCCCACGTTGACCGCTAAGAGCCTACATCAACCTCTGAGACCCCACATCTGGCCTATGAGGGCCCCTAACAGGCCTCAGGGGCCCCAACCGGCGTCTGAGGGTCTCACACCGGTCTCTGGTGGCCTTATTTATGTCTGTGGTGTCCCAAGACGAACCTTAAGGTGCCAATGAGGGCCCCGCACTGGCTGCTGAAGACCTGATGCCGGCCTCTAAGGGCCTGCATTGGCATTTGAGGAGGGCCCATCTTGGCCTTTGAGGGCCCTCTGCTGGCCTCTGGGGTCCAACGACGGCTCATGCCGGTCTTTTAGGGCCCCACGCTGACCTCTGAGGGCCCATGTTGGCCTGTAATAACCCACATTAGCCTCTGAGAGCCCAACTCGGTCACTGATTGTCTCAAACTACTGGCCTTTGTAGTTTGCAGGCCCTGTACTGGTCTCTGAGGGCCCTAAACTGGCCTCTACGTGAAAACATATATGGGTGGGTTTCTGAAGATCAGAGGGCTCACGCAGTCTCCGGCACAGCCTTACGTTGGTCCTGATCGAGATTACTTTGCGTCCTGATGGTCCCGCGCAGATTCCCTCATATTTCGACGTCGGGACCCCATGAGCCGGTGTGGGTTCTGGGGCTGGCAGAGACTGATGAAGTCCTTAGGGCTCAGGGCCAGTCTTTTTAGCAGTAAGACTAGGCAGGTTGAGTGAGCTCCAATAGAGCCGCTGCGAAGCCCCGCAGGAGTCGCGCGCGGCCCTCAGATGCCAATTTTGAAAGCTCGGAACCTGTGGGGGGTCTCCAGAGGTCGGTCGGTGTACCTACTCTCTCCCGCCGCCACACAACTAGGTATCTATATTACTATTTGAGGAGGGTGCGTCTGTCCGTTACCGAGGTCCCGACTTGGTGGTGCTTTGCGTGGACTGCAGGCCAGACCGTTGCACCTAGCCCGGTGAAATTTTCACAACTCATAGATCAAGGATGCGTGACGTGCCTTTGAGGGGTCTCAGCTCGATCGGATTGATAGGGAGCGCGTGGCGCGTGCTCAAAAAGTGCAAATTCGCGTCATAGACTTTACATGTATAAATCGGCGTGCGAAATCGGGCGAAAATGGCTAATTTTGGCCGACACGGGTCCAGTTCCCGTGCAATATCTTGGTGACCAGGGATCCGACCGGCACGGGGAAAACAGCATCGTGTACAGAATTGAACGGGCTATTGAATGGTGTGCAATGCAGAGGATAGCACGCGCCACGTGCACCGGAGAGGGCACTTTTATTTGAAAAATTGCGGTTTTTGAGGGATTTTGGAATTAATTTTATTTTTAGGTGACCGTTAAATGGAGCGAGTTGAATCAACGCCTATTTGCAAGAGAAAGGTACCGCCTCTCATAGAAAAATTGTGAAAATCTGATTGATCCAAATCAAGGTGGTGCAAATCACAGGAGAAAATGGTGTTTGTCAATTTTGTGCCACTTTATTAATCACACGGGGTTTGCTGCATAACCTGATACCTTTGGCAATTGAATATGGTACCATTGGATAGAGCATTCAATTTCTGTCCAATATTCACTCTTCATTTTTGCATAATTAGCAACAGTATCCTTAAAAATGTAAATGTTCCAAACCATTACATTGTCATTTTTAGCGAAATTCATCGATGGCCCTCAAAAGACTTCACGCCAGTTTTCGAATCATTCTAAAGTAGAACGCATGATAATACGACACGGGCACCTCGATGCGATGTATCTTTTTGTTTTCTTACAAAATGCTTGGCCGTCAAAAAGCAATCGAACGAAATGGATATCTATCTTACTATTTGAACAGGATCCATCTGTTTGTTTGTTTGTCTGTCCGCCACGCCGTGTAGTGGGTTCAATTTAGCCGGCCTACAGGGCAGACGGTATATCGTAGGGGGTTGAAATTTGCACACCTTATAGGTGACAGAACGGGTCAGCGCCTTTTCTAGGTTCCGACTCGCTGGGGTGCACGGTTCGCGCGTGGGGCGCGCTGGAAGAACGCCAATGAAATTTTGATTGGTTCGTAGATCTTCATTGAGAGCCGGGGTCGACAAACTTACTGAGCTAAATGCATGCCGATCGGCGGCGGGTGCCTCGCATTGGCGGATGGGCAAGTTTTAATTTGAATAAAAAGTGGCGAGAGAATGTGTTGATTTTCGTTCAATGGCAACAGTTTGTGATAGGAATTTACAAATGCACCGGGTTTGCCACAATGCGTCACATTTGTCTCATGGCGCCATTTTTGCCGCGGCTCGCACAGTTTTGTTAAATATGGCCCAATAAGGGTACAATTTGGTGCAAGGGTGCATGCTCAATCGCCGGGTGAAAATGCGCCGCGTTTGTAGCAATGCGCCACATTTGCCACAAAGCGCCATTTCCGACAAAATCGAGTAAGGGTAATAGAATGGCACGAATAGGGGCAGGGCTGGGAACACTAAGTCTGATATTTTAGTACTGATTGGATCCAATTATTCTGTGACCTGACATGACCCAGCGGTGTTGGTAGGGGTAGTGGTAGGGGTAGCGGTAGGGGTAGGGAAGTGGTAGGGGTAGTGGTAGTGGTAGGAGTAGTAGTAGGGGTAGGGGTAGGGGTAGTAGTAGGGGTAGTAGTAGGGGTAGTGGTAGGGGTAGGAGTATGGATAGTAGTAGTGGTAGGGGTAGTGGTAGATGTAGTGGTAGTGGTATGGGTAGGGGTAGGGGTAGTGGTATGGGTAGGGAT